ATAAAAATAATAATGATACAAATAATAAAGTTCATATTAATAAGGATGATGTATTTAAAAACCATTGTGTTTTATTTTTCTCTTGGACTCTCACTGTGTGTCCCATTTATTGGTTTAAAAAAATAATATTCATAATGGTTATATAAGACTTTTAACAAACGCTATAAGAACAAATAAATTGTTAAGTTAAAATCTACTTGTGCAAGTTGCGCATGTTAAAGATCCCTTGGTGGTTCAAAATCGATAAGAGTAGGCTCCCGCCACCACCCGAGCAAAATTCAAAATTTCCTATCAACTGAAAATGTTTAATGCGTCCCGTGCGCCCGTATGACCATAATATACAATTACGAACACCGTAACACACTAACCAAAAAGACCAAAAAACCCCCCAAAAAACAAAAAACAAAACCTGAAAAAAAGAGACCAATCTCGAGAGGGTAAGCGACGGAGATATACGTACGTGTACAGCACCTGCTCACATCCTTGAATCACTCAGAATAAAAGTAATAATCGTGGTTGTTGTTGTTGATGATGTTGTTGTTGTTCTTGTATTTGCTGCTGTTGTTGTTGTTGTTGATGATGTTAATGTTATTGTTGTTGATGATGATGCTGTTGTTGTTGCTGTTGTTGTTTTTGTTGTTGTTATTGTCGTTAACGTGTTGTTGTTTATTGATGTTCGTGTTGTTGTTGTTGTTGTTGTTGTTGTTACATATTCTGATTGATACAAATTCTTGGAATTTGTTGATGGGGTGTAAAACACCTACATTTAAATTCTAAGTAAAGAAAAACAACAACAAAAACACAAAAAACCTCAACATATTGTAACGGACGACTTTTTACTTATTTGTGGTGTAATACGGGGGTGCGCATTATGACTGGATCGGGCCGATCGCCCGACTCGGTCGCCTGAAGCTGCATTCAAACACGTTTGTTTTTGAGGCAACCGAGTCGGGCGATTAGCCCGATCGACCGATCGCATCCGTAATGGGCACCTTGTATAAGTGCTACTCATTGGCGACCTGGTGAGTTTACTTCTCCTAGATTAATTAACACCTGTTTACACCACTGACTGACGAAAAAAGAAAGAAAGAAAACAGTTTGTTGTAGTTATTACATTTCTAGGTTATTACAAATTCCTAGATTGTGTCAATGGAGGTTTAAAAACATCCACGTTAAAAAAAAGCAGAAAGAAAACAAACAAACAAACGAACAAACAAACACACAAAAAGAAACTGGGATGCACAGCCAGATTGGTTATGATGAGGGCGCGGCTCAATATGAGACCAGTTGTGTTTACATGTCAGCTTAAACATGTTTATCGTTTTACAATAATTGTTTATTTATGTCATAATATTATGCGTTTGACTGTGGGTCTGTTTGTAAGGAAAAGAATAATTTTTCATGGGTGTACGCGGGAAAGATGATAATGTGTTAAATGTATGGGTGCATACACACGTATGAGTTTGCTTATTATTTGCCTCTGTGTGTGTGTGTGTGTGTGTGTGTGTTTGTGTGTATGAGTATGTGTGTGTGTATGTGTGTGTGCGTGTGTGTGTGTGTGTGT